CAGAGCCTGCAGGCGAAAGCATTCAGCAGGAAGGACAAGCAAAAGAACAAGAAGGTCGGTGCCCAGGGCAAGAACGCCAAGAAGAAGGAGCAGCGACGGAGAAGGTGAGCGCGTCTTTCGTTGCCCGGGTGTTCGGGAACTATTCCTGCTTCAGGCTGTGCTTGGCGAAGAACTCCCATATGCGCTCTTCATGCTCCGTGCGGTACTCGTGCTCCATCCCCGCCACTTCGTCTATTGTCGACACGCACACGCACGACCGCACACGGACACGCACACGAGTGAGCGCACTCAAAGGAGCCGAGGTGTGGCCGCAAAACCGTTACCGAACTCGACGGGGTGGCCGGCAACACGGAACACCAGCTCGGCGTCGCGCGAGTACGGCAGCATTTTGTCCTCGGACCCGGTGATGAGGAGCACAGGCGTAAGGGTATGGTCCCTATTGGCCGACGGGTTGTGCCCTTTCACGTATCTGCACGCATCATGGCGACGGGACCCGAAGTGAGCCACCGACTTGGAGAAGGTGAGGTGAGGTGTGGCCGCGATGCGCACCCGCCCATGTAGACGCAGCCTGCGGCGAATCGGAAGCCGGGGTCGAGCAGGAGCGTGGTGAGGAACATCCCGCCGTTGGAGAGGCCGATGGCGTAGATGCGATTCGTGTCGATCACATGTCCCGCCTCGTGCAGTATGTCACTGATCACTTCCTACACACGCGGGGGGAAGACTGAGCCACTCCTTCTCGATACCACCTTCCCAAGGGCCACATGGCGTACCCGAGCGTAGATGTTGTCGCCCACACCGCGCACGACCCACCCCGTCCGCCCGCCCCACATGTCGTGGGCGCCCAGCGCCTGGGGGAACACCACCACGAACCCTTCGCGGTCCGCTTTCTCGATCCACTTCGTCTCGTTCAGCGCCGTGTACCACGACGTCCTGTCATGTTACCCCCCCCCCAGTGTTGTTGGAATGTGTGGTATGTTTGCGAAGGGGTACTACTACTTCTGCGTGGGGAAACCTGTACCTGCTCATGCCGTGGAAGACGAGGACGAGCGGCACCCTCTCCTTGTTGGCCGGGTCTTCGAGCATGAGCTGGACGGCCTCGGGTACGTGGAGCAGGTAGCGACGCGGCCGGATGCTGGAGGTGAACCCGCTGTCCACGGGCGACACGCCGTCCATGGTCTCGTCCACCACGAAGCCCCGGTCGAACGTGTTGGCGTCCAGGCGGAACAGGGGCGGCAGCAATTGATCGACCTCGGCAGGGACGAACCCGATGCGCTGGGGGGGACCCGGCTTTCGGTCAGGCCGTCGCGGTGGTGGGCGCGGTAGCGTCCCCATCTGCCCTTGGGGAGGTGGCAACTGTTGGTGTTGCGGTCGAGGCGGCGCTGGTGGACTCGCGTCCCTCTTCTTCTCCTTCTCTTGGGGAGGTGGGATCTGTTTCTGTTGCTGTTCCTGTTGAGGGCGCTGCTGTGGGGCTTGCGGTGGCCCCTGCAGGGGCTGGTCGCGAAGGACGTAGAGGCCCACAACGAACACCGCCAGAAGGAGGAGCCCTATGCTCCGTGGGGAATACCCCTCCCCTCTTCCTCGCCCGCCCAGTCTGGGCGAACGACCACCGTCTCCATCCAAGCAGGTCATCCTCCGTGCCCAGATGCTTTTCTTTTCTTTTCTCGAAAGATTTCTTCATGTTATTCCTGAGTAGAGCAACGGCGAAGCCAACTGCGCAACGAAGCAGAAGCAGAAGCAGAAGAAGACGGCAAGGAAAGAGAACCGCGCGGCATCATATCCAAATCCGACCCTCTGGCCGATAGATCGACACCACCAGTTCTAGAATCAGCCAATTGATTTGATTAAACATCAGCATCGCGACATTTAGAATGGAGAGCGAGTACCAAATGAGCGACGAGACCATCTCGCTCGCAACCGATAATGGCACGACAGAGGCAGGCGCGGCAGCATCTGATGGAGACCCGGCCCTGGACTCGAAACTGCTGGAGGAGATCTCGCAACGGTTCCATCGGCTGTGGAAGCTCGAGAAGGACTTCGAGCAGCTCACGCGCGACCACCACTCCCTTGCCGCCGCCAAGAAGCTCGTCGAGCACGAGCGCCAGGAGTGGGTCGACAAGTCCGGGCAGCTGCAGGCGGCGCTGACCAGGGAGCAGGAGGAGCGGGCCGCGTGGGAGGCCCGGCACGCCGAGGAGCGCGCGGCCAAGGAGAGGGAGACCGAGGCCAAGGACGAATGGCGCGCCAGGTACGAAAAGAGCGAAGAAGAACGAAGCGAAGAGCGGAGCGAAGCCGAGGGGCGGTGGCGGGAGCTGCAGGCGGTCAAGGCCGACGTGGAGGCCGAGCGGGAGCGGGAGCGCGAGGGCCGCGCCGACGAGGCCCGCGCCAAGGAGGACGTGGCAGGCCAAGTGG